GGGGGGGGGGGGGGGGAAGGTGGTAATGGTGACCTGTTGATGACTGATTACAGTTTGAGGTGTAGACTGAGAAAATTGCACTGCAGTTTGAGAGTTATATGTTACATATAGTTTAACGTTTATGGTCCTCTTTTGTCCACATGACGTTTGTGTTCGAAGTCCATGAAGCTTGGAATAAACAAATAAGGTTAGTAACAAAACGGAATGAAAAGCCAAAGAATACTGGGGACAGAACGATTCGTCACAAGCAGTATTCTTTTGTAATTGTTTTCATCAAGGCACACCGATTCTAACTACTTTTGTTTTGGAGTTGAATGGATGGCGACAGAGAGTCTCCTTTCGTTCTTATTCATCAAACTTCTGCTTCGTTTGCGACCTTTCTTCCCCTTATTCATTTTGTTTTTTTCTTTTGCAGACGGGTGCTGCTGTCGGCGACATGGCCCAGCTAGTCCGACAACAGCATTCTCAAGCAGGGTTCCAGCTCCAGCGCTTTGGTTTTTGCAAAACTCAGTCTTGAACGTCCCTTAGATTATGTTATTGCGTCACTGACGTGGTATGAGACGATTATCGGGTGGGCGTAAAGACATAAATATGGATCTTTATCAGGAAATTCAGCTCTATTTCATGGAGTGCAGAGACGAAGAACAATGTGATGGAAGCTGGAGAATACCAGTATACTATGTGTTTTCTAAACTCTTTGAATGAAGTTTACTAGCAATGATCTCAGAGCCTAGATGCTCGTGATATCGCAATGAATGATGTCGCGTTTGTGTGCATACACTAGCCAAGTATTACGTTTAAACTTACCACACTTATTTTAGGAACATCTAATCTTGGCTCGTCAAATTGGTCTGAAACATATAATTATTTACATCAATAAATCTGATCTTGTTGAAGAAGATGTTCTTGACCTGGTGGAACTTGAAGCTCGAGAACTTTTGTCGACACATGGATTTGACGGTGCTTGTCCTTTCTGAGTAAAGTTTTCCAGTTTTTTCGAGTTTCCTAGTTATCGCACATTTTCAATACTTTTTCCTCATCCAGGTGAAAACGCTCCTGTAATCCGTGGATCTGCTTTACATGCTCTTGAAGGCACAGACTCCTCCAGCATTGACGAATTGCTTTCAGTTCTCGATGCATTGCCTGAACCCCAACGAAATGAAGTTGGTTTTTACTAATGCCTGTTTTTTTTTTGCTTTGAGGGGTCGCTCTTATTCTGCATTATTTAGAATGAAACTCTTGTGATGCCTGTAGCTTCCAGAGTAGCAATAACAGGGCGAGGTGAGGCTTTGACTTCAAGTGTTTGCTCGAATAATATTTATTTATTTATTTATTTATTTATTTATTTATTTATTTATTTATTTATTTATTTATTTATTTATTTATTTATTTATTTATTATACACCCAGGGGTGCGCCATCGATAATATACTTAGTTTATTTACCATTCAGGCACTGTAGTCGTCGGTACAATTGAGTCAGGTGTTTTAAAAAAAGGCGATAAGTTGGAAATCAAAGGCAATGGAAAAGAAGTACTAACAACGGCATCTGATATTCAGGTTTTCGGCCAAAGTGTGAAAGAGGTACTCAGCTCGCATGACATCATTTTTTTCACGGGCTCTCTGAAATTCTTTCCGTTCAGGTTCGGGCGGGTGACCATTGCGGCGTTCTTTGCAGAGGGGTCAAAGCTGATCATGTTGCACGAGGTTAGTTGTCTTTTGCCTCTGACCTGAACCGGGGGCGCTTGGTGCTTTCCCTTCGGAGTCTTGCAAAAAAGCATGACGTATTAAGATGATATGAGCTACTAAGACAAGAGTACAGGCTATGTCATTCCATCGCCTTTACACCTTCTGTTCCGAAATTGTTTAGTACTCTTTTCCCTTGTCAGTTACCGAGTATTTTTCGAATTCGGTCGCTTAAAATATTCTAATGCTGTTTGTGTTTGTAATATGCAACGCATCTTTTCTTCCACTTTGTNTTTTTCGAATTCGGTCGCTTAAAATATTCTAATGCTGTTTGTGTTTGTAATATGCAACGCATCTTTTCTTCCACTTTGTTTTCCAGGTATGTGGTTGGGTCACGTCGGTGCCATCAAAGTAACAAACCATGTGAAGGCAGAGATTTACTTGCTTAGCGAGGAAGAGAATGGTAGGAAAGTTGGCATTCGGTCAGGATTCACTGACAAACTTTTTTGCAGTACTTGGGATCAGGTTTGTATTGCTCTTCCTTTTTTTTTCAATTTGTGACATAGTTATTCTTCCACTTTTTGCGTACAAGCCTAACTATTCCTCATTATTACACGAATTCCATGTTGAAAACCCTCCTACATTTTGAGACCTTTGACTTACAGCTTTCATTTCAGGTCGCGCGCTTTGATCTTTCGCAAGAACTGCTCATGCCTGGAGAAAATGCTAGCGCTACAATCACCTTGATGCGTACAATGCCCTTCCGCAAAGGAATATCGTTCACCTTAAGAGATGGCAGTCACAAACAAACCATAGCCAAGGGGATGATTTCAGAACTTCTTCCCCCTGTACAAGTTGAGAAGAGCAATCTAAAAAAGGCCGCTGTCTCATCTCTCGTCGACTAGTCGCATTCGTGTACATTATGGTTAATTGTTATGGTAGTGTAGTTCGTAGAGATACTATCTAAAAATATTTTGTTGAACGTTGTGTATTCAGGGTTGTTATGTTATCTGAATTGGTCTTCTGATGAAAAATTCTGCTCGAATTCTTTTTTTATTCATGCTCAGTTTGAAACTGCATAGTATCGTGTGCTAACACCAAATAATCTGTTTGGTTAATAAAAAAATTAAGAAAGATGTCGGTGGAGACGGATTTGGAGGATTTTATATGGGGACGGATAACGGAGCAGAATTATCTTGAGAGGTATTCTTTAAAGCCAAATTTCTCCCATGCATGTGAAGTGAATGTACAATTCATGGTTTCTAAAGTGCACAGAGTGGGCTACGGAAATTGCGATTTTGAATGAAGTTATGAGAAGGGAAAGTTATTACAAATTAATGGAACAGCATCCAATGATTGTGCTTGTCCGAGTACATATTACATTGAAAACAGTGAAGTGCTTTCTTTTTCAATTGAAGGCACAAGCACAGATCCGTGTGGTGCGGTGGGCGTCTTGAGATGTCAGAAGCCTTCCAAATTTCATATTCATTCAGTTTTATGCAGCCATTTTTTTCGAAACAAAATCGGTCAATGAGGCTTTTTTCAGTCGTGGCATCATGAATGTATGTTTTTTGTTTTCCTGATTAATATTGGAATTACAGAATTGTTACTTGCGATGAGTTCACCTCCGAAAATATTCTCCGACGTGTTAGTCAGATCGATGAATCTCTGAATCGTCAGCTCAGAAAAGGGGTATGCCTTTTTCAAATGTTTCTCTTCAGCATAAAAAAAACATCGAAATAGTTGTGGTTAAGTTGGTTCCGCTTATGCACCAAATGACTTACAAATGATTATTGACTAAAAGCTTAAGTAAGACTTCAAAAAGATACAGAGGTAGAGGTGATATTGAGGAAATGGATATAGTTTTTATTGTGGGGGTTTGCTTCGACAGAGAGAAGCTTTTTCAGTTGTAGTTGTTGAACTTCGCCTCATCCTCTTCGTTTTTCTTCTACCACTTTCGCGTTTTAGTATGGGTCACGGCAGAAAAGAAACGGCAAAATGTCCATAGCCGCTTGTTCACCCTTACGTGTCGCCACATTTTGTTTTGCAAAGAAAAAACATGTGGGTGAGGTTTCTTAAAGTCAAAAAGAGCCTTCCATCTCTCCAGGTCTGTTGATTCTTAACAGACTCGTGTGGGAGGACACGAGCACTGGCTTGTACATCGGCTGACCACCGCAAGTCATTGTATTGGCCACATACGCAATCAACACTCCACTACGCTTCTGAATGGAAGTCGAATGCGTGGCGCATCCTTCAGAGCCCCAAGACTATCTTTTCATCATGAAGATAGAGCCTTTAATTTAGATTTTATCCTTATGTTGTTCTCCGGATGTGGAGTACATTGGTATATTTATTATATATAGATAAGATAGATAAAGGGACTGTAAGCTAATCAAGTAAAATTGAGGTCGTTAGTGTGTTGGAAGGATTCGGGCATGCATCGTAACACTAGCAGTTCACTGTTTACGTCAATTGGCTATGCCCCGTGGTTGTGGAACAGCCTTAAGGGTAGAATTAAGTTTATAGAACCGGAACAGCCTCGAAACGTTTCATGTATCTAGATTCAATGAGAGCAGTCATGAGAACAAACACTGAGCTCGATCGTTACTTGCTCACATCAGGTGGAAGGGAATGAACGAAGCAAAACAATTCTGACACAAAGACACTCTGGGAAAAGTGCAGGATCCAACAAAATACCTTTAACTTCAATCTGAGTGAACATTATGCCTTTTGAAGCCCCCAGTTGTACGCCATCCGATATATTTCGTGTTTTCTACTCTGGGCAGCTCGAAATAAAGCTGTTCAGAATTCCCAGATATTCGCTGGAAGCCCGAACAATATTCTAACATAAGGAATTACCGGCTATTATACATTAGTCTCATGAGTTAATTGAATTACTACGTTCAAATCGCTCAAGTCAATTGAAACACCACAACGCTTCAGAATTTCATCACTATGCAAAACATGTCTCGATGGTATCCTGAAAGATTACTGCTCTTATCACTTAAGTTTCCATCCAGGAGTAAACAATTAGACGAGTTTAGGTTGAGGAGAACTTGTCCAGGTTACTGGAGCAGACAACAGCTTTGGAAGCACTGGATTGCACTCAGCGGAATGTCCATTCAGAAATGAACGAAGTATACGAGAATTGCGATAGGTGGGTTTTTTACCCGCTTATGTTCTAGCTTACTTTGATATTGTCTAATAGATTCGCCAAAACGCTCGATTCGTTGTTACATGATTATCGCAATCTCGTTGCTAAACTTGAAGGATTGACTGTAGAAAAGGATCTTACCGCCGACGCTCTTAGGTACGAATTACTATGCAGTCACTTATATCCTCATTATCAGTGCTAAGATTGGGTCTTCTGATCTTCTCTTCCATTCAGATGTGAAGACTTACTGGACTCGCTCGAGAAGCGGAATGAGATTGTGAAACGCTCTGAAATTGTTAGTGAAATCAAAGGGGTTGTTGCTGATAACGCAGATTTATTGTCCATCTCATGGCTACGGGATGCTTTGACAACACGCTTGAAAGCCGTGGAGAACGAGGTACAATTTTGAATAAGCCAACATCTGCTGTAGAAGGGTAATAGTTGTTCCTACTCGAGATGCTTAATCATACTTTTATGCTCGTACGTAATAAATCACGTCAAAGTCACATTTCCAGATATATAGAGTATGTAAGTTCAACTCGAACAGATTTTCAAGTAACAGAACAAATGGAGTTTCAAATAAAACAATGGCTTATAACAAATAAAGAAAACAAAATGACTTTCATCTTTATAAGTTCAAGAAATTCGTGACATTATCAGCCTACGGCGTACATTTTTTGAGGTACGTCGATCAGCTGCCGATGATATGCGTCGAGGTTTGGTGAGCCTCAATGCTTCTCTAATTTCTTCAGCCACAAGAGCACTGGAGAATCTGGAAGTGCTTGATGGTATGTTTCTTCAATTATGCGCCTCAAACCATTCATTCGGGCAGTGTATACGATAAACAAGAGAACAAAAGGGCGTATAATTATGTGAAAGTGGTGTTTTGTCGAGAACCCTCAGAATTTAAAATTCGTTAAACTTCATGTTTCTATAACATTTCTTTACATTTCTTTATTGATATCATGTGAAATTTAACGATAGTACATAGCCGGTTTCCATGATATATTCCTGTTTTGCGTGATTCTATCGTGATTTGTGCTCAATAAATAAGACCCCGCTGTCTTGTCGGCTCATAACACTTGTGTTATGTTATCTCACCCAAAATGTCCTGTTTTCCAATGCATGAACTGATATTATCTTATTATGGTCACTTTTAATCCTTTGTCACATCAAGTTGATCTGCGCATTAATTGCAGCCGAGCTCGAAGTGCAGTTGTCGTCAGCCGCTGCGGAAGTTGATTCAAAGCTGGTGGATTTGTCCTCGTCTCCTGAAAGTAGTATGCGGAATCTCCAGCAATGCGTTAACCTTATTCACTCACAGCTTGAACAGTGTGCTTTGCTAGGTGAGCCAATATCTCAGAGTTTTCTTCATTCATTGCTTTATACACATAACACAATATGGTATGTGTCAAAGTTTCTAATTGAGAATATCGAGTAGTTTTGCGTTCAGGTAAAACCCATTTGATGAGGTTTGTTGAAAAACTAGCACGAATAATTCGTGCGCGTGTGCCTTTGGATGCAACTTTCAGCTTAAGGTGGTTTCGTCTTTTTATTTTTTAATTAGAACTTCCCCTTAATTTCTACCATCTTCAGGTTTATTCAACAAATAAATCGAGTGCTCAGTGCACGTCCAGAGTGCTCGGGACCCCTCATCGAGGCTCTACGTCCACTAAAAAACTCTATTTCAAGTCAGTCGTTGGCTAGGCTTCATCGTATTGTTGAGCAGCAGGACTTTAACACAAGCCAGAACTTGGTCTTCGTTGACGTGGTTTGTTACTTTGTCTCACCTTTTCTTATGTCAATACTGTTTTTTTCTTTCAGTTGAGTTCCGCGGTCGAAGAAGAAATCAAACGACTTGCTTGGGATAGTGAACTCCGAGATGAAACTGAGAAGAATATACAAAAGTGTCTCAGCATGGTTGCTAAGCGCCTAGAATCCGAGTTGAAACTGGATACAGAAAATTTGCTTCTAGGTATGCTGCTCTTAGCTTTCCTCGTGCTGCTCATTGAATTACTCGAACAGTAGTGTTTTAGTTTAAGCCCGGCAGGGTGAGATGATGGATCCCTATCTTCAAGGGTATTGTGGTGTAAATAGTACACTTCGTTCCAGACCTAAAAGAAATCTAATCGTTTAAAAAGCATTACCCAAAATCCATGAATGTATGTACACAATACCCGGTTTACGGCGATAGTTGAAAAGTAAAGGGACTTACAAGAAAAGGTGCGCATATTCTAATACATAGTACATTCAACTGATGAGGAAATGAAGCGTACTTTACTTTTCAAAGTAAGCTCAGTGGGATTCAATGCCCTTTTCCCTTTTCGCTTCACAAGTATTTTCATTTTATTGAGAAAGTTTTGCGATTGCACTCGTAATCTGGATGCTGAAGGTCACTTCCTTCCAAACAGTCGTGTGTCACAGAGAGGAGTTGGGGTTATACGTGCTGAAAGTGCACAATACAGTCTGGCTTGAAATGAGTATCGGATGGTTGTTGATTCCAATAAGATGTTTTAACTTTACTGCTTTTTTTAAAGCCTCTGGCTGCTACCTAAAAGATACGTCAAGGATAATTTTGCCTAAAGAAGCAGTCCACTAGCAGCAAGGGCAAAAGCAAAATTCCCTTTTGTACTGCCTTATCTAACACTCCAAGGCATGAACTTAATCTACGGAAAACCTTTGTAAGGTTATCAGCTTGTTCAGCTGCTTAATTATTCAGAGTGTAGTAAGTGAATACCACTTGCACATTTTATATTTTTGATGTGGCATGACTTTGATATTACTTCAAACTTCACTGTCATGTGATCTCTGTGTAATTTAATTTATTGTACAGTAATATAGGTGGATAGATACAATGTAAAAAATTTTTAGGTGATCGGCTGAGAAGTGATCAATTGAAGAACTACAGATTATTGGAGGTGGCTAATGGTCTTGCTGCTAAATGGCCATCTCAAGCAACACCCTTGCTAACCTTCGAGCAAGAAGCCGTAGCAATCATTATGGAGTCAATTCGTGAAAGTATATTCACCATAGTCGGTGCAATGCATCGAGAGGTACTCGGGAACAAAGATGTATCTCCGTATATGCAGGTGAGCCTTTCTTAAAGAAAACCTACTCCTGGTAATTGAGTAAACAAATTGATCACAAGTAATTGGAATTTTCTTTAACACCCTTGTAGGGGGCGATGCTCAGGGGTGTTGGACATGTTAGGCTATTGTAAAAGGGAAGCGTTTCCAAAACAATGGAAATCAGAAAACGTCCTTTCTAGGAAGATTCAACAAGCGGTAAGAAAGTATGCCCGCGATAAGAGTGAGTCTCCGTGGTATTAACAGTACATGGGTTGGATAGATGTCGATGTCAGAAAGGTGATTGCCAACAGTAGCAAAAAGAAAGAAAAGTAAGCGGAAATATCCACTTCAAAATGGGATAAGCAGCGAACGGAGAGATTCTCAATCAACGAATAGTGTAAAAGATTGAAGGAAAACGAGAGTGTAAAAGCGATGAGACAATGACAAACGTCTAAATACGGAAATGATTCTGAAATGAGAGTAAAAAGGGAACACAGATAACATATGAAGAGAAAAGATCTAAGATAAGCACGAGACCAACTGGATGATCAAACTGACCACTCTCCAGGGTTTTAGTTTAAATTTTAGGAGCTGATTGCTTACATTAATCGCATAGAGTTCCACACCTCACATTTTCCATCGTCTATTCGACGCAGTGCTTCTCTTTCTTCTCTCGCAGACTACATTATTGAACTGTTCCTTATTAATGCCACCCTACTTCGCCCGTCGAGCGATTCTATTCGTCAGCGACTACGTACGGACTTAGAAAGGTATGCCTTAACTTCTTTTTGATTTAAGGATTTCTGAAAACTAGCTGAATGCTCTGTTGCAGCTTGTTGGACGCTGTCGAATCGAAACTAAACCCTAGTGTTAAGTATCCAGACCGGAATCAGTTATTGTCACTCTGGCATCGTGATGGATCAATTTTTGATAATGAATCGAATACCTCCTTACCGACTTGGATCTATCTTCATATCCTCATTTCTGATAGCCCCAACAATCTGGTGTCACCTCATACAAGCGTAGATTGGACGGTAGGAATTCGATCAAATATGAAAGACTTATTAGAGAGTTATTTCACTGATCAAGCCACATCGAGCCCGTGTATTCATTGTGGATATTACTGAGCCTGATTGAAGAAAAAAACCTTCCAGTAATTCCTCGGAATGAAATATATTATGTCAATGCTTACATCAAATAATGAAACCATTTTTGTTAATTTCTGCAATAATTTCAAAATCTTCATCTAAGCTGATACTTGCCGAAAACAGCAAAGATGGTTTGCCCAGACTCTTCCAACTTTTCTTCTGGTGAATAGAAAATCCTGGGATGTATAGTGAGGATGAGATTATTCTTGAAAATACCTCTGCATTGCCGTTGTCTTCCAGCAGCGAGGACTAGTAGTTGATGGTCGTTCTCACTTTGAGTTCACCGCTGCATGTTATTGAGTTTCAGATTGACTAAAACAAGCGTTCGGACTCGATGTGGTTGCGTTTATTTACCTAATTATTCCTTTGTTTGTTGTCTATCTGAAATTCATCGTTTAGATTGACCAGTACGTGAAGTGGTGCTGCGACCACACGGATTTCGAGATAGTCTCGTTCCTCAGTGGCTTGTTGGCATCATATACGACAACTGTGGTCAACAGACACGAAACACAGTTCGTACCACATTATCCAAAGATGATGGAACTCGTGAGAAAGGCCACAGATTCCACCACCTGAAGCAATACCAAGGGATTGTTACTCTTTGTTTTTTGTTATGGTATTGATCACACCTCTATTCCTTGCATAAGCTGATGAATCTGTGATAGTGATCAGTAAATGATGGGTCATATGTGAAGATGCTATAATAAAAACTTACACATTCGCGTTTGAGCTGTTTTTGAGGGTGTCCTAGAGTTGTTGCTTCTAGATGAATTTACGTGCCTTCTTAATAACCAGAGAATGCAGCTTGATAGGAACAAAATGCAGATGCCAGAGGTAAAGAGCGATGATGAATGGGAAACTGAGGTCGTAGTTGTAGAAGTCAACGGCGTGCTGGACGCACGATCCATCCGTCAAGCTATCGCTGCCAAACAGACTACTCTTCGAAGACCAGAAACCGACACTCCGTTGTTACAAGTGGGTTGCCCCAGAAGTTCTCCTTTTCAGCTTAATGTCCGATTTTGAAACATTACTGTGAACTTTCATCCCAATCTTCAATCGCTTAAGGAGAGATGTGGGATACACAACATTTCAAATGACTATCGGCAAAAACTGAAACTGTAAAATGAAAGGGCTAGAAACGACAAACTCGCAAATACTTCAGATTCAGTTCAGTTCAATCTTTTGTTGAGAGCCGATGGAAATCCGAATCAGCATACGCTTTGGGCTCAGTGATCTCTTCCGTTTTACTAAAGCCCGTGGAAACCTAGCTCGATATGAAGAGGATTTGATTGCAGGAAAAGTAGTGTCTTCTGTTAGAAGGAATACGAGAACATTGAGGTCTAGAAGTTTTGTGTTCCTCCGTGCTAAGCCTGTATTGCTAGGATTATGTAGACAAAGGTCTGCTACTGATGACTGACTATATAGAGTCATTGTTTACCAACATGTTGAACAGTAGCTGCTCAGGCAGCTGATATTTTTATGCATCAAGTTACGCAGGGATTTTTATTCGTTGTAGCATTGACATTGTCGAGAGAACAAAGGAAGCCAACAGAAATATGCATGAATTTCAGATCGGTAATTCACTGTTCACTGGCAAATGGCTTCGCACCGTTGGGACGGATATTATACTACAAGCTGACGGTGGGCAACATCTCAGGGTCAGTTATCCTATTCATTTCTGCTGCTCTGAATGTGAACATGGTTAAGTTTTCATTTGAATTCCGTCAGTACCGGGCTTGTTCAATTTAGATGGTACCTCTGCTTTTTTGACAGATGCAATTCTTAGTAACTTGCGAGTCATGATAACTATGAAAGGCTCACCAATCTGATGCGCTCCCTCCCTAAACAGAGTGAATATGTTACCAGTGTTACCTCCACACAAGATTAGCCACTATTTGTTTATAATCAGGGGCACTATCGGTAGCGTAAGCCGTAAATTCGGGCAAAAAGCTTCGGGTTTAGAATTCGTGCATGCACTCTCCAGGCACTGTGCTGTTGGTCAACAAAAAAGTAAGTGTTAGAGACCTGGGAGGAATGAACTAAATTTTCAGAGCATATCAAGAGAAGGGTCGAAGTTTCCCAATTGCGCACAATTAACGTTTTTGAAGGGGTTATCTGTTGCATGATTTTGTCAGTGTGAAGGTTATCCAGAATCTAGCGGATGTCATATCGTCGAATGAGCGCAATGGATGTGCGTTTGTCGAAATGTATTCGAAAGAAATGAAAACTGGGGAGCAATTCCATTGCCCTTCAGGCTGTGTATAAACCAACATGAACATATGTACCTATACCGCCAAATTGAGTAGGAACAATGCTCTAAACAGTGCTTTTGTCATATACACAGACTTCTTAGAAAGAGGTGCCCGAGTATATGACAGAAGCGTCCAAAGGCTACTTTAAGTCTTCAGCGACCGAGCGAGCAACCGACCGACCGGTGGCCACGTGGTGACAACACTAGACAGATTGCGTTCATCTGGCCGATGTTGTCCCCACGTGGCCAGCGAGCACCGTAGGGTGGGTCGGTCGGTCGTTGAAGTCTGGAAGCCCGCTTTCAACCGCGTTCACGATACCTGTGTAGTACTTTGTGAGCTGATGACCAGCGAAAGACAATTTGAGTGTTCCGTGTGTTTCTGCACGTAGAGAATTCACCTATTGGTTGATACCATGAAGTTCCATAAGAAATCGTTTTTAACGCCCATTAGAAAGGATTCAATTAAGAGGATCCTTGAGGAGTTTTGTTCGTCCATAATGTATTCGATTTCCATCATAAATATAGGTTTTCCTTTGTTCTTGGAATTCTGGTCCTTTACGCGATGCTTTTTCCCTTTCAGGTTGTGGCGGCCAGTGATAAAATGCTGAAGACGGAAAAGGCCTTGCTGACAGCGAGCAGCAGCGGCGCCGCAACGTCCGCAGTGCAGACGAGCGACTGCGCGTTGGGAAAGGATCGACCGCCGCAACGGCAAATAAAAAAATGATTTCCTCCAAGTTCCATTCGTTCATATTATGTAATATTGATTCCGATCTTTGATCACTCTTCAGGGAGGGCCCCCTGTATTGTTGTGCAGGGTGTGCCTGAGTGTTAGGACATTGTTTCCAGGCTTTTTCATATCCGTTGCCTTGATCTCTTTTTATTTACTTTACAAACGTTGTACTGTTAATCGTGATTTTATTTTTCCCTTTACTTTCTTTGTGTAGGTTTTCTCATTAAGAATATTCTCCCTCGGCGCAGGTCATTTTCATCGATTTTCCTATGCAGGCAGCGTCTTAAAGTTACATCTCACATCGGCACTGCTATACTTTCAGTTGTATGGAACCGTGGATCATGTGAATATTCAAGCATACGGAGCTTTCTTTTTGTAGGAATATGAAGTAGTTTTTGTTCTTCCAACATATGAAGGGGTTTATATCTGGAGAACTGATTTTAAAAAAATATGAGTTTTTCTCAAAAACCAACTCTATTCTTATATTTCACTGGGGTTTTTCTTTTTTGCAGCATAAAGTAGGTTGTACATAATTGTGCTCTTTCATGAATCGATATCATTACCATTATATGTTGATCGGTCGAATGTGTGCTGTAATAAAGTGGTCCGTCCCAGAATGGCAATAGTTTCTTTGGTTTTAAACGTTTGCACCAAACCATTCCAGAAAATTTGGCATTGAGATCTTTATAAGCTGAAGCTGGGTGATTTCGCACATTCACCATTTTTGTTTTTTCGATTGATCTCACAACCATGAGATTTATAAGTGAAACAGCATCTTTCGTGGTTCTTCTCTTTGAATACTGTTCCACTGGTATAAATGTAAGATATTTTTAAGCCATGGATGGCTCACCATCCTTTAAGGATGGACGCACAGTCATTCTTAACCACAACGGTTTGGAAGATGAAGAAGAACATGATGTCATGGATAGCGGTTCAGAAGTAAGACATTTCTGTTTTCTTTTAACATCCTCATACAGAAGTTTAAGAGAAATAACAACCAAAAAGTTCTCCCACATTTATTGCCTCACGTTTTTTTTGGCACAACTCAAAACTGTTAACTTAAGGATGAAGAGTCTCCTCCACAGCTCGTGTTCACTGATGGCTCCTGTTCTGACTCCCAACTGTCGCAAGACAGTGTTGAAAACGTAAGCAGTTTTATTGAAATACTTATAATATTAGCTTCACAAGGATAATGCTTCCAGTTTAGTATCCATATCCCTGCAAGGGAAACGAAGAACAAACAACGTCATCGTCTCAGGACTGCTCTTCAAAAGGACAGGGTGCACCTGAAGTAATATTTGCCGCCATTCTAAAATATGTAAATACAAGTAGGATCGCCGCCCGGCTTATGCCGGCCTTCATCCTTCCTGTTTTAATTTAAAGAAATGGACGGTTGACCCGTTGACCCTCTACTTCTCTTTTCGAATCGAGTGATTCACATGAAAACAAAATTTTTGATATTCATCTCTTACCATGCAGGCACTGCAAATTCGTTAGGGCAAATGCGATCCGTTGCTTACATGAGTTATTCCTATGCGCACTTGCCGTTACCATTAACATCCGGAAAAGTCAACCCTTCCTTTTATTGAGCCTATTGGTGGCCAACTTTTCCACAACTGACAAACTTAGTTAGTTAAGCGAAGCCTTGGATGATACTTATATATGAGTAATTTAGCGAGATCCACAGGTTATTGATGGTCACATAGGTTCTGTGGCAACCTATTCCAGATTAAAAGAAACACGTTATTCCTCAGTGAGTCGCAAACATTGAGGTTGGGGAACATAACGTAAAACATATCAAAATGCCAAGGCTACATGGTTTATCCACACAAGTTAGCAACTAGAAACCTTTTAAGATTTTTTATAAGTATTTATCAGCTGTTGTCAATTTTTGAAATCCATCATTCGCCGCCATACGAAAACAGGAAGTGGTCTTGTGGCTATTACCCCAGTTGCTCTTATCGGTTAACATTGGTCCTTATTACCAAATATCGCCGATCCCGACCAATCCCACACCACTCTCGAAAGCGTCAAGCTTATGCTATTATCCCTAACGGTGCAACTCAGTGGCTTTTCCGTCTAACTTATAGCTTCTTCTCACCTCTTATCATTTGTTATCAAATAAAGACATTCCATCACACACCAAATCGTCTTCCAAAGTGTCATTCCATCACATCGTGCGTCATGCTTTCAAATACAGCTGTTGACAGGGAGGGCGTTACGGACTCAATGGCTCTTGCGTTCTATGGCTACTTATCAGTACCTATCACACGTTATCAATCCCTTTTCCTTTTAAGACCGCTTGATCACGGTCCCTATCAGTTGTTACCCCTTCCTACGATTGATTATCAGTATTCCCATACTTCATCCCTTTCACGTTTGAGCTCCAGGAGCCAGGAGTTATGAGTTTCTGGTAAGCACATAAAACATCAACAAACAGAATTATGTATAGTAAGATATTTCTTAGTGTGCCGTTCTGCAATTCTCTCAGCAAGCGAACGTAACGTAATTGCCTTCTGCCTGCCTAATTGCCTGTCTTCTTAATTTAACCGCCATTCAACTCCGACTTGGTTCTTCTAATAGTGATCGCTACAAGATCCTGCTTGGTGTAGGTAGACCGTTCTAATTTCCTGAGCAATATTTGAAACTCTGGTTTGACCCTTGTTCCATTTTAGTAACCAAAGAGCTCCTCGTGGCTTTTGTCTAAATCTATTTGTTAAAAACGAAAGGTACTGTACCGCGCGAGAAGCTATCCAAATTCGCCACGGTTAAATTTGTGCCAACACAACTTTTAACGTCCGCACCTGGTGGTTTTGATTAGTTTTTTTGTGGAATTTTGTGAACGGTGGTGTATGACCAAAACATTGTGTTTGGGGATATTTGGTCCGGTACTGACGCAGATGCCACTATCGGGTCCCGTGATTAGTAATTTGTTGTGAAGCTATCACCTTTCTAAAGCACAGGATACCTGATCCTCACTCTTTTTGTGCTATACTTTCTCTGACTAAGGCGTTAAATGCAATAAAAGTCGTCAACCTACGTCAACCCCTGTTATGTTTCTGAGTTTAAGTTTGGAAAAGTCTTACAAGCGCGTATGAGACATAGACAATGTCGAAGTTTTGCCGCAGTGCTTCTTCAGTCGTGGATCTTCGCATAATAGCTTTGTAGCTGTTTGTAATGCCCACGAAATCGACGAATATAGCTTCCATGAGAGTTTGCTCCTTAATTCTGGTGCTTTCCAAAAAGTAGGGTACTCGGGTTCTCAATAGTCCTAACAAACGTTGAAAAATAAAAGACAAATGGCAATTGTAGCTGTATGACTCCTGAAGCGCCTCCTCACAATCTGTCCGGTTACGAAAGTGTGAATAGTTGTTTATGACATTTAGTAAAGTATTTGTAGGAATGCTTAGCGGATGTATCTATGGCTCAAGCTGACACAATTCTACGGTTAGGCACTGATGTTGACGGCGAAAACTGCGGACTCGGGGTGGCTGCAATAGAAGTGGGTTGCTTTTGAGTCAGGGTAACACTTTTCGGGAGACGGAACATTCATCCATTTCCGGATGAACACGGTAAATGCCCTGGCGAAATTCGCGGCGTTCTGGTCGACTTTTCATTTGAGCACAAACTTGAATTAGAGTAGGTCATTATGGTCAGATCCTACTGATCAACTTATTTCCAATTTGGGCCACATTAATAGGCGCTAAAGTCGTTCGAATCGCCAAGAATTTCGCCCCGTCATTTGCCGCGTCCTTTCGAATTGTGTGAATGGACCCATACCCATACTTTTCTTCATGAATTCCGCGCCCAAGCCACGCGGTTTCATTAGATTCAGCGGTACTGCGTTTCCGTAGAAATAGTTTCTTTGAGATAGCGAGATAAATAGCGAAGCAGTGTTATATATGATTTGCAGAAAGACCCTGTTTTCGTAGCTGAGCCTTCCACGAGTCTATCGCCTGGTTTGGACAGGGAAGAGGTGAGTGTATTTTTGTTACTGATATCATCTTTTAGGAAGTGCAATTATATTCCTTATGCTTTCTGATGGTAGCAGTATTCTATGACTGCGGGAGGCGCGCGGTGATTCAAGGGTGTAGAAACCCGTGATAAAGTGCAGTTGACAATGATATCCGATCAAACGAATGGTTTTGATATGAAACGTTGATGCAGTATAGTTAGCAAAGAAGTTGTATTGTTCACCGATGTTTTTGAAATCCTCCGAGGACTTTTGCTTGAAGCTATGAGCAATACTGATCTTCAGATCTCCAGAGTAGAGGCGCCAAGAATTAGAGTATCAGTTTGACATGCGAAGACTGTTTTGCAAGATCTTCTTTCGCAAAGTAAAAGATGAATCCTGACCTTTGTGGTTTTCTTCATAACGATTTTCTCCCGCGAAATGGTCATGTCTGCTTGAAAGAAGAGATTGCCGAAAAGCCAGCGTTACTTAAGTGGCCCTGTTTTCTAGTAGTATTTTCTAGTAGTAGTTTTCTAGTAGTAACAGTTACAAGAGGAGCTATGCTTATGGCGAGACTAGTAGAAGGTGGTTTTGCCGTGAATTGCTGCTCACATTAGAGGTTCCTTCATTGTGGTTTTAGGTGGACATGGAGGTCTCTTCTGGAGATGAAGCAGAGGAACCGCGTTCGTCTGATAACTTTCAGTCCAGATATGAAGAGAAGAGGCGTATCGAAGAAAATATACAGGCTCTCATGAAGGAATTTGAACGGAAACGCTTAGAAGAGAAAGCTAGGAAAGCGAAAGAGGCTGCTGCAGCCGCTCTCGAGCAAACTTTGGTAAGCTTATTTTTTGTACGATTAAGTTTAGGGAGATTTAGATTTCATTAACAATTATAATCATTTTGTCGTTCATGTTGTTAGCTGCGTTTGTTTCATAGCTATCCTTGTTTCAGTCGAATGTTGTTTCAACAACTTCGGAAGTGTCATCAGAGGCGGGACTAACCGTTTCTATGGTATCCATGCTCGTTTAAAAAAAAAGAATAAACTTTTTTGTAGTTGATTATTATCATGCTTTCAGAACTCTGAGCAAAACTCTACAGTTCGTAGCAGCGGTCAAGCTACGCGTGGTCCATCTACTCCGAGTGATTCCCCAACTTTGGCTGAATCGGGCGACGGTGTTCCACAAGGCTCGTCTGTGGCGAGTGTTCATAAGCATGTACTGAAGAACTTCTACAAAGTTGTAATGGCATCAAACTTTTTAAGGATCAGCTGAGTTTGGGAGGAAGTGAGAAAGAGGAAACGTGTTGTGAGCTCCCGTCTTCATCAGTAGAGGTTCCTCCCGTACCAGCGTATGAGGAAATCGATCAATGTATTTACAAAGTGGATTACAAGAAGAAGGCCATCTCTCTCATGTTGGTCCAAAATCTGGCACTATTGACCCTTTACTGCCCCTCTTTGTCGAGGATGGGCTGGATTTCTATCGAATTTTTTTCAAGAAGATGAAACCGACTAGAAACTTGCCTATAGGGGTAATTTTACATGTAGAACACGAATATCGCATCCATTCGTCATAGAGATGCCTAGCGCTCGCGCCATGGTGCCCTGCGCCAAATGGTGCTGGGTCACCAAACTTGCTGAAAACTTGCTCCTAAGTAGTGCTCTAGACATTTTCATGACGAATGGATGCCATATTCGTGTTCTAAGGGTCAAATTACCCCTCTGAGCAAGTTTCTGGTCGGTTTCATCGTCTTGAAAAAAAATCGATAGAAATCCAGCCCATTTTCGACAAAGTGGGGCAGTAGAGGGTAAATAGTGCCCAAAATCTTTTTGGACCCAAACATTAGCTTCAAAACTGTATATTTTTAGGTGTTTCTGTAGAGTTAATAACTTGGATTGCTCCGATAGCAGGTGTGACAACAGAGCGATGTTCACCGAATGCCCCAAGAATTGTCTTGGTAAAGGCAAGGACTGTGGAAACAGACGATTTGCCAAGGTAAGCTTTTATGAAATCAATTTCCTCGGGTTCGAATATTTGTTGTAATGTTCCTTATGTAGAAATGGTAAAATGCTACCTTCACGAAAGACATAATATTTCACTTACCATGCATTTGCAATAGAATTTAGTACGCTCCTTTTCCATTCGAGGTTGTTAGGAAGTAAGGATGAGGAGTGGTTTGGTCGCCTTGGGGTACTGTTGTAAGCGCCGCACTTCTACCTAAGTATGGTACACAGGAATGAGAGGATCAGATCCTTTCACCCTTCAAATTTATGAATGAATTCGGCGTATGTTCAGATATTTCTTGCATTAGCTAATTTAAAATTTCGCTTACTACGAGTTTGTTGCGTCGTAGGGTGCTTTCAGACTCATCGACATGCGTTGTTTCAAGACCAATGTGCGACCGACTGACGACGTTGCTGGCCACGTGTTGACAACACTGGACCGATGGATACCGCTCACGCAGATCTGAGCGCAGTCTGTCCCGCGTTGTCCGTACTTAGCCAGCAACGCCGTCGGTCGGTCTGTCGCTCGGTGAAACAATGCACGTCGCGAGAAACTGAAAGCACCCCCAGAGACGTCAAATGGCAAGGCCAAGGCTGGCGGTCGTTCCATCCTTGTCAAGAACCTTTCACAAATCACTTCTAACAAGCTTTTTTAGCGGGAATACGCTGCTGTACAAGCTTTCTACACTGGACCTAATAAAGGATTTGGTGTCCAAGCAGTAGCTCCCATTAAGAAGTTAGTTCTCTGTTGTTGTTTTTTTAGACTCAATTCTTATTGATACACGGATTGCAGAGGACAATTTATCATAGAGTATGTTGGGGAAGTGGTTTCTTCGGAGGAATTTGCGAAGCGCTTGAGGAGGTAATTTTCACAGTTGCTTTTGCTGATATCTGACTTGATTGGTGATTCTTAATTTACGAAAAAGCCATCCAACAGGACGATAAATGCTGAAGAGTTAGTACTCAGTAATAGGATCTAATAAAAACGAAATGTTTTTTTTTTTTGAATTCTCTCGTTGGTAATTTACTCGTGCGTTTTCACACAGATAAAAATAGCCGAAGTTGTGATGCGCAGATTGCAATCGCTCGGTTTGTCGTAACGGTTAATGCATTCCTTACAACACGAGCTAGTCAATACAGTTTTGGAGTGTTGCCTTCACTAGCGTTGGGAATTTCTTGTTTTGTTTTGGATAAGGAGTACATGAAACAATTCAAAACAATTCCCTTTTGTAACTCATAGCGGTTATTGCTATACCTGAAAAGGTGCCTATCGGAAAGCAGTTTTTCAGCATAAAAAAGCATAAAAAGTGATAAAGAATGTATGGCATTTCATGTTTGGAAACGCGAAGTTTAAAGACTCACCAGATGGAAATTGGGGAACGGGAGCTGATCGAAACTAATGAGGGCTTTTGTGGAGATAAGAAAAAGTGTCGGGAAGTAACGTCTTAAAAATCCTCAAACTTCTCAACAAACACTTTTTCACATGGAAGCTGAAGGTGCTTGAACTGTTGTTATTGCGAAGATCTTTAGGATTAATCGTTCTTACTTGTGTTGCCCTAATCTTTCTTCTCAGCTTTCGTCGGAAGGGTTACCCTGTATGGTGCTCGCTTGTAGTCTCAAGCTAATCCTTCAGAGTTACTTTAATCCTCCCATCGTTGCGAATGGTGGAGCGGATTCGTTAAAATTTTAACTTTACGGTTGTTAATTGCTTCAAAGAGACAAAGTGCATGAGCTTCAGCTGCAAGTTAAAATTCAGCTTATCGAACTTACCAGACAGAGATAGAATCTGTATCGAAGGCTATGTCAAAGTGTAGTCATTTTCCAGATACGGACGTGATCCCTCTCATACTCATCATTACATGTTCGAAATCGGGTCCATGATTATTGATGCAACGAAAAAGGGAAATTGCTCTCGCTTTATGAATCACTCTTGTGAACCAAATGCAGTTTGTGAAAAGGTTAGCTCGATTGTGATCTATGAAGTAGAACAACCTGTATGCTACATTTTCAGTGGTACGTCCCACGTACGCCATGTGCCATTGACAGAATAGGTTTTTTTGCAAAGCGTGATATTGAACTTGGAGAGGAGATAACATTTGATTATCAATTCGAAAACTATGGGTGGGTTTGCTGAATTTGGCATGTTTTTGGGCTTGTTGAGGAATCGTCTTTCAGACGAGAAGCGCAGCGATGCTTTTGTGGTGCCGCTTCCTGTACAGGCTGGATTGGAAAACCACCAGAGATGATGGAGGATGACACGGTAGACGAGGAAGTTGATTCCCCAAGTGACGAGACTGAAGAGAGTGACGATGAAGACATGAAAGTACGTCCATCCTTCATGGTTCTGCAGCTGTTACTTGCAAATATTTGTTACAACATTATATTACAGCTAAGTGAACGGGTTGTTATACGTCGCAAGAAGGCATATCGGTACTCCAGCCGCGATAATGTGACCGTAGAGGATGTTGAAAAAAGGCTGGCTAAGGCTCTCGGAACTGGATGCCGAAATAAAACTCATGTTTTGGGGTGGATCAAGTTAATGGTCAGTTTCACACGTTTTTGCTGTTGTTAGTTTCAGAGCTGACTATATTTGTGTTCCTGATACGTCGTGTTTAGGCAGAGATGTCTCTCATAAAGTTCGAAAACGGAATAGTTCAGTCGATGTGTCGTATTGTCGAAGCTATAAGTTCAGTTGTACGTGTGTTAAGATTCATGTATTTTTGATATCTCAGCGACTTCAGCATCTTTATCGAATAGAGTTTTTTGTTTGCCAGGACACTTCGTTGCAACATATATTTGTTGCTAATGGACTGCCAAACATCTTCAAGTCTTGGTTGCGAACGTCAAATCCCCAAAGCCTGACTCGTGAAGATCTGGAGTTGAAGCACTGCATAATCCGTACGCTGCTGGCGCTGCAATCTTGTGCTGAAGCAATTAACGTAAGTTGTGATTTCGATACAGTGTAACGTTAACTAGAATATTTGAGTCATTTAAATTTTTTTCGGANGGGGGGGGGGGGGGGGTGGTCCAGTTTTACTTTTTATGGTGGTTTACATATTTCAGTTTCGGTACTGTAGTACTGCCCTTCCAATCGCTTCTGAGAGGTTTTGATGGAAATAGGATTCTTAACTACCGCTGGGAAAAGAGTGGTTACTTCAAAAGGTTTTTGCTCAAAGTGCCTTGCACAACAAAGCCCTTCTGCAACCAAAGTTATTTTCTGAATGAGCAGGCTAACAGGCTGAAGGGATGAGAAGGGATGGTTCTCAAAGGCTGCTACGCCGTTTCCGAGAAGATCGTCATAAGGAAATCCTGTAAACAGAAGAAAAGTATTCTCGGTGGAAGAGGTGCTCAATGAACAAAACCACAGTATCTGTGCGAGGCTGAAACGAAATGAAGGGGTACAGCGCAAAGTTCATTTTCTGTGTGGTCTTAACGAGCATCTCCCGGTGGAGAACACAATATTTTTCACATAATATCAAAATTATTGGCCAATTCTCGAACAAGGGAACTTTTAAAGGGGTGGTAGGTGTGTTTATCTTGCGTTTCGAATCGCATTTTCACATGCAGTAACGCTCACAGTGCTTTCAGTTCTTTTTGTTCATTGAATTCATGCATTTATTATCTTGTCGTAATGGAGTTAACTCTAGGCCCGTGCTCCTGATTTATTAACAATCGTTACCGACATTGTTGTGATGCCTACTCCTGATATTCTCTCTGTTAGAGATGCAATGGACTTCATTATATTTCAACTCAGCAACAAGGGCCAGTCTGTTGATGCTAATGTAATCTTTTCTCGCATTAGAATGGTAAACAGAATTTTAAACTATCATTTTCAAGCGTTTCCACGAATCGTTGGAGCTTAAGTTCGAACGTGTGAGAAATGCTGCAATCCGTCTCCAGTCAGTGCTTCAACAGCATGTGAACTACCGAATTCCGAAAAAAGTAGGAATTCCATATTGGCTCCCACTACTTTTTTATCGCGATTTTGGTGTTCAGAAAACAAATGCATTGACAGTTTCGTCGACGGCTGGTGGTCAGGTATTAACCGACAGTAGCGGTGCGCAAGAATCGATGTTTGTAGCCTGTTACATTGTTGTTACATTAGGTGCTTTCTCTTCCTTGCACAAACGAATCATTTAGTTATCAAAATCGAGACCGCGGACTCAGAACTGGTTCCGGACTCAGTGTTGCAGTTGGAAATGGCAGACCCAGGCTTAGGGTGTCTCGGTGGAGCGCGGGTGAGTAGGTTCTGATCAAGGTCACTCTTCCGTTCTTCTTTTTTATTTGTTGTGCTTCAAGTGAAAGGTGCTAACAAGGGAACTAGGTCGCAATGGCCATTCAAGATGAGATGTATACCGACATGTTTTCAAACGCTGATTTCAAATCTGGGTTCCAAATCTGCGAAACGTTTCTGGCAACAAAGTTATGAGTTCTTTTTCCGGGTGCTGCTTTTATACGCGACTCGAGCAGTTCCGAACATGGAGCAATGTATGAGTTGTGAGGTGGACTGGTAGGCGCGACAATGAGGTTCGAATCCTTGATGCATTTGCCTGTTTTGCTTTTATAAAAAGTGTTCTAACGCTTGCAAAAAACATTTATGCATCATATAGACCACTTACAGCCCTCCATATTTACCAAGCGCAAGAAATGATAATACAAGTAAAATTTTTTATTTTTTGCCTCATTTGACCGAATTGGGGTGCACATAGAACCCCTCCGCTCCGGGCACTTAAGATGTGGTCAAGAAACTCAGCAGCTCCATGCAATTTCGAAAGGGGGCGGCCGGACAACTCGTCAGACCATAGTGCTTTCGGATGAAGTAATGCCTTCTCTGGAAGTGACAGAAGTGAGCTGGTACAATTCAGCTGACATCTTTATGAAAAAGTACTGTTGGAATAATAAATGAACATTTTATGAAGAGATATGGTAACCCAATACAAAGTGTTTGAACATATAAGCTTCTCACAATGAGAGCAATATATAAAATTGTTCATTACACCCATCACTCTTACAGTTTCCGTTCTAGATGAGATGAGAAACAATATTGAACAGGAGTTTCGAATTTCTCGGGTCTGTCTCCAGGTGCCCTGCTGCAGATTATGAATGAGAAAGAACTTTTTGAATCTAGGTGCGAAACAAGAAGTATAGTGAGTAGTTAAGGCGAATTATGGAGTTGCGGTTGCTAACGTGGAAGTCCAGATCATGAGAAATTGCGAAAGAGAATACGCTTATGCATTGCTTTGAATATTAAGAAATAATATAAATCGAGAGGCTGAATTTGAGAGGTTAACCCAGGTGGAATGTTGAGCACTTTCACCTCCTTGCCAGTTGGTAAAATACCCTGAATCGCTTCGTGGCCCTTGAAGAGCTCCATGAGTCGACGATCATTAGGGTTGAAGGCAATTCTGTTGATTCAGCGCATGATCTAACCCAAACCAGCACAAGTTCTTTGCTCATCGTGTGGGTTGTGCTGACCCTGATCTCCAATTCGAAGTGAGAAACAAATGCGATACGACCACTTTTGGGTAGAACACATTGCTGGCATTATGTCAAGAGCTTAGAGGTCGATTGAAGGTTTTGATCGTGAGTTTCTGTCGGATCCTCCAGATCTTGCTCAAAATCGCACTTCTATCTTAAGCGGAGCTTTCGCAGCTCTTCGCTGCTAGACTTATAGTGCACCCGTATTCGTTCCGCGTATTAGGATTTCTGGTGCTCCGTAAATATGAGGGAGGGCTGTAAGTGGTCTATATGATGCGTAAATGTGTTTTGCAAGCGTTCAGAGCACTTTCTATAAAAGCAAAACAAAAGCAAAACAAGCAAATGCACCAAGGGTTCGAACCTCCGTATCGCGCCTACCAGTCCGTAGTCCTCCCAACTCGGCCATTGCTCCATGTTCGGAACTGCTCGGGTCGCGTATAAAAGCAGCACCCGGGAAAAGAGCTCAAAACTTTATTGCCAGAAACGTTTCGCAGATTTGGAACCCAGATTTGAAATCAGCGTTTGAAAAAAACTTTTGTTCCTGTGAGCACCTTGCATTTTTGTATCATATTATTTATTCTTTCTTCCTTTGGTAAGAGTTATCATTTTAATAGATTACCGACCAGTGAAAAGATTTCGAAGTTCATCGAGAGAGGGCAATGAAGAGTGTGTTATCCGATGTAAAATCGGACCGACTGTGACGCAGACGACAATTGAATCAGGACGGCCATCTTCCCTCAAGCGACACTGTCCCGCAATTGATGATCCACCCATCATTGTCACCAAGGTGTTACCAAACGTAAGTACGTTCTGTCAAACGTTATGTCATAACATCACATGGTCTCAAAAGTTACCAGTACTTCAGTTTGGAATCAGTGAAGCCTTCAATTTTTGGAATCATTGTTTACTTCAAGGGGCTGATTTTTCAAGTATGGCATTCAGTACTGCAGGTCATGCCGCATAAAATAGACCAGTAAGCACGCCCGGAAAGGCCGGGATCCCCTCCTTTTGGACAAAGTTGTAGTAATTGGCTCACACTCTACTCCTTTAAAACGGATTAAATTTTCCTGTACACGAAATTTGGCCACAGTACTAACAGGGCAGTGCAAATGGTATTCAGTGTAAATCGGTGCTTACGCCTTTAATTCGAATTCTCAATTTTTTGCTGTCGGTCGGTTAAATTTTGTCGCAAATGATATCGAACAAAGAGGATCCTTCATTGAGTTACAAACCTTGCTCCATAGCGGTCGCAATCTAATAGCAAGAAATGAACAAAATTCTCATCTGCTTATCGTAGTGCAGCTAATGTGTCCCTATCTTTGACCTTACCCACTCACTTTGTCACGATTCTCTTCCATCCCGTCTTATTGAATGAAATATATCGAAAGGTCAAGGTTCGATCGTGCCAAAGTAGCCAACTATTGACGACAGTGGCACCCAATGTTGGGTGCCACCATAATTTCTTTTTTCTTACCAGATTTGAAACTTCTTCAATATTTTCATATTTATTAACAAACTTCACAGTATTTATATTCAACATGGTTCAGATGAAGCTTTATGGGAGCTCATTCATCGCCAACCGGAATAACCATTGGGGTACTACTAAAAAAGTTAGATACTTTCGCAAGATTTGTGTACCTCTTGGAAACATTGCAGAGTTCTCATCTCCTCAGTATGGCAGTCGCAAGGATTTATTGACCCTCGAGTGCTTTGGATGTTATGAGTTCCTACTGCGTAACTCATTTCCAAAATTTCTTTCCTGTACTGCTTGCAAATCCGAGCTCCACATTTAACCCTTAGTTATGAATAATAGATAAAATAAAATATTGGTAACTCACCACGGGAAATATCGCTAAATTCAGTAAGCCACTGGAATAATTTTCTGGTGTCAGCTGCGCGCAAAAGGAAGAGGGCGTCGTCCCCATGAGCGCACCATGTCGAGATCCGCATTGTTGTCAGAGGGTTTTGATTCAGATGGTAAGTCACGGAGTACCTAAGACCACGTCACATCCTACATGACCTACTGAAATGCCAAGGTTCCACTGTTGACATGAAGGGGATTACAAACTTAGTAGCTCTAGCCTTCTGGGCTCTACATCAGCCCTCGCACGCCTGTTAGCAGTTCTTGTAGCCAATCACCTTTCACATGCCACACCACTTACTTAAGTGCTCCACTGTTATTATGGGAGACGTTGCGGACTCCAAGGTTCTTGCCTGCGGTGGCCCGTTATCAGTTTCTAAAGTTGGTATCGATCCTTATCACTGAACACCTATGGTCCTTTCTCCATCCACAACATCCATTACCAAAGTGTCAGGGCTCCACTGTTTACACGAAGGAGATAACGGACCCTGCCGCTTTCGCCTTCTGAGGCTCTTTATTAGCCCTTTTCAATTGTTATCACCCATTATCACACATCATCAATGTCCCCATTCTGCTATCTGTACTCCTACCAAATTTCAAGGGAACAGGAGTTATGAAATTGCGGTCGAAAATTTCTGTCGCGCACGTCCCACTCTCTGTAGGTGGAGTCTGGTCTTTCTACCTGCCGTTGGTGTTACCACCCTGCCGCCTGTATTCCCACCAAGTTTGAACGCTCTAGGTCCACGGGAACATTAGATATGAATTTCCACAACGCAAACACACACACCGACACACATATACATACATACATACTCACAGACACACCGACAAACAAATAGACACTTAACGAATTATATATAGTAGGAATTTAGTGAAGTAACATTTCAAAAAATCAATTTTGCTAGTTGGTTTGTATCAAACAATTGGGAAGAGTTACCGGAAAAGTTTCGTGTTCTCCCTTCGGATTGTTCAAAAAGGGGAGCTGCTTTAGCAAGCGCCGCATGTGTTGACGAAGAAAATGAGTTTCCTTCGTTTTTATTGTTTTCAATCCCTGCAAGTTCTGGCACCAAATCCTAGAGGTAATTCTGAGAGGAGCACTTGGCATCAAAATTTCTACCTATACTGGATATTCTGATCTCTAGCTTTTGGTCTGAGGTTTGATTTTTGAATTTCAAGTTCTGTAGTCCCCCTTCTTATTGTCTAGCACTCCAGAGATGATTTTTTTTTGTCTTGACTCCTGATACAATTTTTGCAGTGGCCTCGTCCTGCGGTGACCGCAACTATACCTCCACCGCCTCCTGCACATATACTTTCACCAGCACCAATAGTCGTACCTCCGCCGCCACCACCACCGCCAGCAATTACTGCAGGTTTCTGTATTCTCAACAATTGTTATTTTGAGTTGACAAAAGGCATTTCCAATCCTGTACACATGGCAATGAAATATCGAAGATTAAGTCTCACCCCCTTCTTTTTTTAAAGGCACTTTTCGCGATGATTCAATGGGCGGGTGTGTCGACGACGTGTCCGCCTCTCATTCGATGTCACGTCAGACAGTCTGACGTGGCGTCGAATGAGAGGCGGACACGTCATTGACGTGCCCGCCCAATGAATTATCGCGAACAGTGCCTTTGAAGTATATCGGTGTTGAAGTGTTAAGAACGACAATATAATAAGTGGGACGTCATGTAGTGAAGTGTATAAAGCATACTCTTTTTAATGGGCAAGCTCCATGTAAGATTCCCTCTCCGTGATTACACAACTACTCTCTAATATAGAATAGTACTTGGATGGTTCGCCTTTATTGTGTTTGATCCCTTGGTACCGTCATCTTCGACATGAGTCTTTTTTTGCGATGCTTCGTGATTGATGGAGAGATATACTTTCATTGTCTATTGGAAGTCAGGAACATTTTAACAACGGGAACAGTTTGGAAAGATAGCGCTGATAAATAGTGAGGTCTTATGTGAAAGCAACATCCATTCCTACCGACGTACTCTATGGATTCTTCAGATTTAGCGCTGACAAGTGGGCGTTAGGCGTCAGGCATCAACGTGCGTAACAATACCCATGAGTCACGCACGCAGAGTTATCCCAAAGTTCGATGCTCAGTGGTGGGATTTCAGCCTTTAATCCTACATACTATTTTCCTGTCTCATTCAGAAAGCAGCAATGAAGCATTCGTTCTGTTATTTGAAGCGAAGCCGTGTTCAGCGCAAACAACATAAATGCGCACCTCACGATAGAAATGTATCTAAGATTTCCCCATAGAATGATTCGAGGTCCCCTCGTACATAGGAGCTACTAGTTCGGAAAACGGCCTAGTTAGTGGGGTATAAAAGCTCAAAGATTGCACCTTGCGTATCCTCGGGCGAGATTCACGGGCATCATATAGGCTGCGCCGATCAGATGAGAACTCATATAGGAAGCTCAAACAATTTGTCATGACCTATAACGACAGTAAAAGGGAAACCTGTACAGTTTCGGCTTGATGTAGTCAGTTCTTAGCGCAGTTGCAAGAACTGAAATCTCGTAGGAAAACCCCTTTTATGTTTATTTCCGTAATGGTAATTCCGTCCAAGCTCTATTTTCCCTACTTTTATAGAGCCATATTTTCCTTGAAATCGGCGGATCTCTCGCTTTCTTCACTACCGATAAACCATTCCCAACGGGTGTGTGTACTGTCGTGCGATTCGACTACGCGCTGCAAATTGTGTGGCGAAATTCATGGGGATTCGAACGACTCTGGCGCGTCTTATTGGGGCACAAACTTGAAGTAGAGTAGATCAGTATGGTCAGCTGATCCTACGATGTTGCATTTTTTTNTTTTTTTCATTCGGCTCGTACAATTTGTTGGAATACAACCTTAGAAGAAGAAGAGTTTTCCACTCTTCCCAACTGCTAATCATATAATAGGATAGAGGCTTCTAAATAATCATGGTGCTTTACAGTTTACCCGCCTACAGTGCCTTACTACGACTATGGGCCGTATGCTGGTCTACCTGTGCCTAGCGTGTCAGGCTACCAAGCAACCTACGATTATTCACGTTTTCCCTCCGAAGATTTTGACCCTGAAGAGTATCGTAAATATTACCAGAGTTGCGACGTATCGCTGCTTCAGTGGGTTATCGTATTTCAAATATTATGGCAATAGTCATTACTAAAAACCTATCTTCTAATTTATTCCTGATCATATGGTGTGACAAAGTATTGATGAGTAAATTTTTCCAGATCCCGCCTGCAGATCCTTTTGAAGGAAGTGTCAATACTGCAGTCTTTGTTGGACCAAAAGACGACAGAGGTCTGATCTTTACAATATGGGAAGGAAACTTATTTCTTGGAACTTTGTTTTCCATTTGCGAAATCTCTTTTCTGTTTCGAAAGAATTTTTCCTTTAGAATGACTTTCTTTCAACATTCATTTTCAACTTTCCTCACTTTTTTTCAGGCGACAGTTCAGAAAAAGGCGGAGTCCCCAATCGCTCCAGCGACACCACTACCGCCCACCCCCAAAACTCCCCCGCCTCCTCCCCATAAAGAATATATGTGGCGAAAGGCTGTGGATGAAGATGGAGCCAAGTATTACTACCATAAGGTAAGCATGTCTACCCCAAACTTTATTCCGATTCTTCAGGTATGATTGAAACTCTCCATGGAGTTTTTTGCAGCGAAATGATTTCATGATTGAAAATGAAGTACTATTATCTTACGCTGAATGCATTGGATTATATAGCAGATTCTGTCACTTATTCTTTTCTATCCATCTTTTTTTTATCTTTCACCTTTTTCCTTTGAGGTTTCTTAATTTCTTTAAGGAAACGCGTGAATCAGTCTGGGAACTTCCTGATGGGGAAGAAAGTGATCCTGGTGAACGTACTCCTACACGAATGCCTGACACATCAGGATGTGGAAATGATCCAGAGTCTGATAGTGTAGAGCTGGTAGCTAATCTGTTCTTACTTGATAAATATGTCACATAAATATGTCACTTGCTATTTTATTTGCTTGTGACTGTTTCAGAGCAAACATAATGACGGTCTTCTGTCGCGTTGGTCAGCAATATGCTCACCGCAAGTGTCCACTTCCAATACTGCTCAAGGCTCTACCCCCGTCTTACCTGTACAAACAAATGCCATCAATGGAACTCCAAAAACCATCGAGAAGAAGCGTGATCGTGATAAGCGGGTATGGGAGAAATTTGGAAGCGACGCAGACCGAAAACGGGCTAAGGTGTGTTAAAGGCCAGGACTTCACTTCTTTTTAGCTGTGATGCTGCTTCTGTTTGATTTATTTGGCTTTCATATCTATACTTTACAAAGCTCGTGTGGTATGCATCCCGCTTTACTGCTTCTCAATGTGCAGTGATGAAAATAAGCATTATGAGGCGAGCATAATTTTTTTTTAGAAATTGATGTGCGAAATTGAGAAAGTAGTGGGACCAATAATAGTGCGCCATATCGGGCACAGAGATGATGCAACGAAAAAGAGGCAGGACTGGATCATCAAGCAGGTCTGTTTGATTCGATAAGCCTCGCGATGACGGAAGGTTCAAAACGGTCGCGCAATCAACTAACTCCTTAAGGTGAGCAAGGAAATGCTGAAAAGGGAGTCTGAACGCGTCGACTTCAACTTTACACTAACAGGAAAAGGTGCAAAACGGGTGAGTCATACTTTTATACTTGATGAGATAAGTATTGATGCAGTTGCTATGCATTGCTCTCACTGTTGACCAACATGCAAGCATTTGTTGCGAATTTTTCCATTTGATTTGATCAGAATTAGGCTTTTGTTTAGGTGACTGACTATGCCGATGCATTTATACAGCGAAAATGTGCCAAAGAACCTAAGGATCTCTGGAAGGGATATGACGGTTCGCCATAGGTGATAAATTTCTGATCAGTCCGTCGAATGTTGCACTGCCACGGCTGAAACAGTCTAGATGTTAATTTCCCAATTCTCCTGAGATACTGGTCATATATCAATGCAATCTTTCATCGCGTTTCTCATGCTGATTTGTAGGTTGAACATTGTTGCTATATTTTTACGTTATCGGTGATTAATTTCGAAGAGAAGACGTATACAGCCGCCCTTCTCTTTTTACATCATGTTTGTCTAGATTCATTAGTCTTAGTGTGTTTTATAGGTGCTTCCAGTTGGAGAGATGGTTTATAACAATTTAGGGACTCCGCTTTTGCTTGTAGTTAGCGGTACATCACGTAGAGTTCGTGAATGCCAGGCTATGCTGATCCATCGAAGCATGGACTCTGTCTACAAATACTTTCTTACTCAAGTCCTTGTAAAAAAACGTCACTCAAAATAGGAATTCTTCGAAGGCACCCGAGTTGTGAAGGCTTGGGAAAGTTTTTGAGTTGCCAGTAGGTTATCAGAGGAATATTCATGAAACCGTAATGAATGATTATTATTGTTAAGCTCCCTGTCCTTTAGAACCCGCCTTGGAAATGTCGGAGCTCATTCAAAGTAAACTGAGTAACACATGTAGGTATCAGTATATTCCTCATTCCAGCTCTTATGATCATTGTTCATGAACATATCATTGAATTTTGTTTAGGGATATTCTTCTTCCCAGACTAGCCATCTCTATATTCCTTCAGATCAGATATCATTATTGAGAGTTCGCTCTTTCTCGATCTCGATGTCGAGATTCATCTTTCACATGCTGTAAATGTTTTATGTGCAGGCGCATTCATTAACTATGGTTATCATAGATTGTTCCAAGTTCTTGTAAAGATTCCTATGAAATAGCTTCAAATAGCTCCACTTGTTCCGAGAAAGTATGACTAGCGACCAGGTCTTCTTACTTTTTTTGAATCGTATTCGCTTCCTTTTGTTATGTGGTTCACCCTAGTCATCGATGAAGATCGCTGCGTGGTCGATCACATTTTATCTGTATTATCCACTTTTATTTCCGTCTTCTCATGTGTAGTTCAAATTGCAAGTAAACAGGTCTTCATAGAATGTGTGCTACGTATTCGGTTACGACCTGGAATTATTGAAAGCGCCCGCAAGGGCATTCCTAATGAAAATGTTGTATTTGGCCGTTTCTATGTTTTTGCGTTGTTACGTTCCTCTCCTAAAATGTCACGTTACTCCAGTATTACCATTAATTCAAAATGAAATTACTAAAACCTCGACATGACGCTTTTCTTTTATGGCCTGACTGTTTGTAGGCCAGAACCTGCAGTCACCACCTCTTTAGGGGCGGGGCTTAAGTACCATTCTTTTCTTTCACGCCACCCTTCACCAGGGTCTTTGCGTTTGGTCTCAACTAAACTGTCACTGAACCACCGTTTTCTATTCGTTCGTTTAACAGTAAGAGAGAGATAACAATCTTTCTGATTATATCAAAGGCGCCACATTTCCGCCTAGTCACCACACTGACTGTGGTATTCGTTTAAGAACATGGTGAAGATTTTAGAAGTGCAGGCAGGTTCTAATTTTGTAGTAAAAATTCGGCGTTAATCAATCCGTGCCTCGGTTCTTTTGTGTTCGCGCACTCGACACAGTTCGAGGTTATGCGTATGCGGTTTACGCGACACCGTAAGGATGGGACATTACTGCCTTGGGTGGGTATCGATCTTGGAATCGATTCATAGCGCACAAGTGCGCCACTCGGATCTTTATCTTTATCTTTACATCTCTCTCTACAAGCTTCGGCTCACTTTTTAATATCAGAACAAGTTTGGCGGTATCACCTGCTCTGATTTATCACACTTCAGTGTGAGATTCTCGACTCACTTTGGCTCCTAATTTGGAATCCACATTCAAAAATAGATAGAACTTGAGTTTGAAGAGCCTAAAAAAAGATAAGCGGATCTGCTTCAAGCGTTCGTGGTGCAGAATCCTACTTTACATAACTCGCTAAGGGCGTCTGTTGATATTTCGGTGTGTTTGTTTGTTTGTGTGTGTGTCGGTGTGTGTGTTTGAGCGGAAATGCATAACTCCTGTTCCCGTGGACCTAGAGAGTTCAAATTTGGTAGGAGTACAGGGGACTGGATGGGAAAACTTATGGTAAGTGGCAGGACCAAACTCCGTGCACAGGGGCGGGGCGTACGCTATGGGAATTTTGGACCGCAAATTCATAACCCCTGTTTAAGTGGACCTAGAGCATTAAAATTTGGTAGGAGTACAAGCGACAATATGACAGATCTATGGCAGCTGGCACAACCAGACTCCGACCAGAGGGGCGGGGTTTGCACAGAATAATGTTTAGGCGGAAATTCGTAACTTCTGTTTCCTTGGACCTAAAGTGTTCGGCCTAGGTAAGATTACAGCTTTCCATATTAACAGTGGAACCTCGGCATTCCAATAAGTGATGTAGGATATGATGGGTCAGGCACTCGGTGACAGGAAGCGATAGTAATTGATAAGAGGAGATAAGGAGTCTGTTGTGGCTTCCGCTCGGCTTCTTAAATGGCCACGCCTGGTCGGATGCGCGGAGGTCCCGGCGCGAACAGCGTATCGGCCGCTTGCGCGTCGGCTATACTAGACGTGTGCTCTGGCCTAAAACTATGTGTCTGCTTGTCATCGTCGTATCCGGCTGCCCCTGCCCATCGTCCTGCCGTCAAACCCGCTCGAGGATGAAGGCATGATGCAATCCGACTAAATGCGTAGTGATCGACTCGGGCACGGAAGCTGAGCTGATACGCCAACATATCAGCTCAAAGGTTGACTGACTGTTATTCGTACGGAATCGTACGAATTACAGGCAGTCATCAGCAAACATCCGAACTGACGAAGCTATGCAAAGAAGCGATAAAGGAAAACCTGAAAGAAGGACTAGTAGTTGTGGCCCAAGCAGCCGAGATTTGGAGCCTCACCTGTTGAAGATCCGTACTTTCCATTTTCACCGAAATGCCTTCACCGTATTCCTTATCAGTAAAGCTCCAAGCCTCCAACTTCACATTCGCAGCTTCTTAACGAAAAGTACGCAATGTGACCCGCATCACACCACTCAAAAAGAGAGCACGAATTGTACGCAATACTCGCGGAGAGAGTCCTCAGCTCACATAAATGATGTCTTTCACTGATTGATGGTTTTGCCCTAAAACTGAGCGATTTCACACATTGAACTAGATATATTGTAAATCTGTTGTGTTATTATTGAGAAGTGATATGATTTCATCATAATGGCTGAACTTTATAGAAATGCGACTACTTACTCCAAGTTATGTCCTTACACGACTTTGTCGACACCTCATCCCTCATCGCAAAGAAGCTTTCCTTCTGTTGTCTAAACAAGACTTTCAAGAGGCACTATGGAACTGGTAGGACTGCCGAAAGTCTTCGATCGAAAGACCACTCTTAGCAGCGACTTATGCGAACCGAAGAGCCGTCAGGAAGCGCATCGTCAGGAATCCCCGTCTGAGCGTGCGAAAAATGGCAAAGTAGCTCAGGATCTCGCGACAGTCTATCGGAAGGGTACACTCTCACTTTGGGCTTTATCTTTACAAGATCAGAAGATGCTATGGCCTTACGGAGAAGATAAACGCCGGGAGAAGATAGATGCCAAGCCATGCTTGCGAGGACCGTCGCCGTGGAGCACCTGGTGATCGTCTTCTCTGACGAGAAGTTGTTCACCGTGTCTCGGACCTTCCACGTGCCAGCGTAATGGTATGAGCCGGAGTGTGTATTGCCATCGGGAAAACTCCACTCGTCTCCGTCGATCGCGGCGTGAAGATCGACGAGGAACACTACATCGAGCACATCTTGGAGGAGGAGCTACTGTCTTAGAGCCCGGCACACACTTTGTGCGCGGCCAGCTGCCGGCTTTCAGCCCTGCCATTGTGTGGCCGTCCATCTCCCCCGACCTCAATCCAATGAACCACTCGATGTGGTCGGTACTGGAGCAGAAGGCCTGCTCCACTCGCCACAGAAGTATCGACTCGCTCAAGTTGGCTTTGAAGAAGGCATGGGATAATATCGACGTCAGGTACCAGCGGTCCGTCATCGACTCGTACTCTAAGCGTTTGGAGGCTATCGCGAAGGCTAGTGGAGGCCTCATCGAGTGACCACCCTCAATTTTAATTCGCACCTGTCGTAATAAACTATGTGCCGAGTCTGATTGCATTTGGTCAAGTGTTGAAGAAGATAATTGGTTTCTTCCATGCGTCAATATGGGCCACCCTTTATATGTCGTG